ACAGTATATTTCTATTCCGGAACAATTGTACTTAGAAATTTTCTAGCAAACTCAGTAAAGCTTATGACTTGTACTACCGGTTTTGGGATTGTTGGCTTTGTATAAAAATTTCTGTTTCATATTTAATAGTTGTTGGTTGAATTTTTTCATTTATTCAGTAAGTGTTAGGCTTACCTATTCTTAAAGACTAGGTGCCATCACGATATCCTACAGAGGGAAATTAGGATCGTAACACTAATCTTGTCAAAGGTCATGTCCGCGGCAAGCTGAAGATGTGTCATGTCTTTCCTAATCACCTCTCCGCAATATTTCTTCTGCCTACCACTACCCTTCCTCGACACCACCATAGTCAACCTCTCACACCTCCTCACTAGGATATCTGTACATTTCCTTTTTACATGCCTTAACCATCTTAGCTTCGCTTCCCGCATCTTGTCCACCAGATCCACTCGGGCCACTTTGTCCCGATATCTTCATTCCTAATCATATCTCTCCTAGTATGCACACACGTCCATCTTAGCATCCTCATCTTTGCTACTTTTATCTTCTAAATATGAGAAGTTTTGATTGGCCAACACTCCTCCCCACACAACGTAGTCGGTCTAATAACCACTCTGTAGAACTTGCCTTTAAGCTTCAGTGGCACTTTCTTATCATGCAATACTCTGGATACAAACCTCTATCATCCATTCCGCTCCATTACATATGTTGCATCCTCATCAATCTCCCCATTACTTTGAATTATAGACCCAAGATACTCAAAAATTTCTCTCTTGGGTATGACTTGTGTATATAACCTCACTTCCACATCAACTTCCTGAGTCACACTACTGAACTTGAACTCTAAGTACTTTGTCTTAGTCCTGCTTAACCTGAAATCTTTAGACTCCAGGATCTGCCTTCAAATCTCCAACCTAGCGTTAACATCACCTCGCGCCTCATCAGTCAAAATTATATTATCTGCAAATAAAATGCACCAATATACCTCTCCTTTGTGTCGCATTAACTCATCTATCACTAAGGCAAATAGGAACCAGCTGAGGGCTGATCCTTGTTGTAACCCCATCATGATTGGAAAGTGACCAGAGTCTCCTCCCACTCTACTCAACCACATCTTAGCTCCACCGTACATGTTCTTTATCACCCTACTGTATGCGATATATACACTTCTAGCCTCCAAACATCTCCACAGAAATGTTTATGAGAAAAAAAGAATTATTTGCTTGAATAGTTATTTTGATAAAAAGAAAAAGGTTAAAGACAAGTAAATAGTGATCGAGCCAAACCCTTTACCTTGCAGTTAAATCGATATGATAAATATGAAGATAAGGACTAGATTTACAACAATGAATAACGAGGCAAGAGCTAAAGAAAGTTCAATTGTAAGCTTTATATTTCTTGCAGGTGTTCGTCGAGAGAGAACAGAGAGTGAGAGAAAAAGAGAGATGTATTACAGGTTGTGTCCAAGATGGTGCCTTAGAGGGATGATAATGTCTCCCCCTTAGCTTCTTTGAGAACTAATTATACAAAGAACCTTTTCGTGAAAAGACTGCTCGAAAAAGAACTATCAAAAAGGCATTTAAGCTAGGCACAAAACTCGATGCTGACTTGTGTCACAGGATTGGTGAGAATGCACTCCAACTGGTGCCAGGCCAGGTTCGAGGGAAAAGATCTGTTGGGTCGGGTGCCATCGCCTCGGTCAATAATATCTGTTTTTGGCTAGACTTGGTGAATTTTAAAAATAAACTCTCATAGACCATGTGTTGCATATAGACCGCAAAGGAGGTCTATAACAATTTTGTATACAACAACCTGTGATGGGAGGTTATAACTATCAGACGGGATTATGAATTGATAGTCAACCAAGAAAGATATTTATTACATGATAAGTGTTTACTAAGGATGTTTATTAATAACAACTCTCAAACTTCTCTAGGATTTTGAAGTTTCTTATCAACCCATAGAACTGATTGTGTTTATATCGATCCTTTTAATTAATTCAAAGGATGCAAAGAGTGTCCATTCTTATCACACCAACGTAACCAACTAAATCCGTAGTTGTCTATATACTTGTACGTGATAGAGAAATAAAATATGATATTTGGTAGACATATAAAAGAGTTGATTATAAACAGTAGGTATACAGACTCAAGTTGTTACAACAAGCAAACAACTTGATCCGTAGATCAACAGTGAGTAGCTGAAAACAGACAATAATCGACCATGCGTTTATTATAGAACTTAGGCCGCGACAGTTACGGTAAATGAAAATACATAGCCTCAAAATAGATCAACTGGGACCACTATTCATCCTCGCTATAGAATATCTGGTTTTACAAAACCAATTAGACATAGCAGCAACACATACATTTTACTTCAAACAATCAATTCTTTAAACCCAAAATCACACTTCTATGAAAAATTAAAAGGTGAATTAGAAGTTACTAAAAATTATTAGAATCGGATAAACTACACAGTGTTGGGGTCTATATAGACATGAGAGAGTCAATCATGGCCTGCTTTTGGTCCGAAATCGACTTGGAAATGCGTCTATGGTGAAGTTCTTGGAGGGGGCGAGGGGGGATGAAGTGCTGGAAAATGAAGTTTTTCTAACTTTAATATTTAACCCCTAAGTTTTGATAATGATAAATTGGCTCCCGACCACCCTTAAGTCATTAAATTATGTGTTAGCAATTTTTGCGCCCAAAAATAAGCGAGAAAGAAAATTGGAGGTCATTTTCTTCAATCAAATGTACAAAAGGTCTTTATAGCAATTCTTCTCAGGTTAGGATATCTTTTGTTAATCTACAATGGTCTCTATGTATATATATATATATATATAAATTTTTGGGCGTCAAGTAACATGAAACATAGCGAGTACGCTAAGTTGTTTTCAGTTTTGAGAACCGAGAGATGATAAAGAATGGAGTGTATCCTGGCGTTTGAAAAGCTATATATCTTCACGAAAAGAATAAAAGTATCACTATACTCTACTGCCAATATAAGGATGTAAATTATCTTTACCTGTTATAATTAGTAACATGTCTTATTTTTTTAAATTACAAATGTCACATTTTAAGCAGGCTGGCTTACTTGTTAANATATATCCATTCTCATACACTATTTATTTCCCAAGTGTGTTGATGAGTGACTTTGCAAAATGTCAACAGGCTGAAACACGACGTTCAGTTCTCCTCTGTAACGATCCTAGTAAAGTTTTAATAATTCCTTTGATTAGCAAAGCAAAGAAAAATAAACAGATTAGCTATGTCCGACAGGAAGTCCCTGAAACTATGGATGTACATTTTAAAAGGATTACACGAATTTAGTATACTTTTTTTTAAGTACAATGGTCTGTACGTCAGGTAACATGAAACAAGCTGAGTTTAAGTTCTGTTTTTTCAGTTTAAAAAATTGAGAGATATAATAACGCGTGCAGTTGTTTTGGCTTTTTAAAAAAAGATATTTATTCTTATGTTAAGGCTCTCTCTAAAACGTTATGTTGGATGTATTTTAAAAAACAATGCAATTATATCTGAAAAAATAAGAATGCAATTGTCTTTTTTCCTCTTGACTTCTAATTCATACTTAAAACTCAGGACAAAGTAACGGAAATGTCACAATATGTGTCAAGCAGATTTAAATTCTTGATCGACAATAAATGTTCTTTTTATTTTTTATCATTTAGTATGTGAAACTCACTAACCGATCTAATTTTAATGGCGCCAGGCAGGCCCACTAAGGAGGTAAACCGCTCCTACCAAAAATCTCTTCATTTTCAAGGCTCGAAACTTTTCTTTACCCCGAAGGGGTACTCTAAATAAGAGAACCCCTCCAGAAATGGGTGTATGCTACTCAGGGGCGGCTCTAAAGGCTTGGGCAGTGAGGCCGTCGCCTTGGTCCCCCAAAATCTGACGTCCCCAAATTTATTTTAAATTCTTCTTCTTCTTCTTCTTCTTCTTCTTCTTCTTCTTCTTCTTCTTCTTCTTCTTCTTCTTCTTCTTATTATTATTATTATTATTATTATTATTATAATAAAGAAAAGTGTTACAGTATATTTTTTTGTTATTTGATTGAGCCTATTTTATATCAATAAATTCATAAATTATAATAAACCTTTTTTACTGATTAATTAGTATATTTGCTTTAGTCTTCAATTTTAATTTTACTCTTTTTATATAGGAATTAAGTTATATATATCGACAACATAATGAATTTCTTTTATAATGTTCTCTCAAACTGCATGAACACAAAGACATTCATACACCGATTTTCTTTTAGTGTAATTCGACATATTATATTAGGTCATTTATAATTTATTTTTGATATTCACCAATAAGTGTTAATTAATAGAATGAACTACAATTATCATTTAAATTGATTATAAGGAGTAAATATTTTTGATACCGTTAATGCTCAAAACTTAAGCTATTACGTTATGTACGTTTATTTCTTTTTCTTGCTTGTGATGATAGCCAAATTAAAATTTGTGGATCTCAAAATCTGATAGTCCACCATTTTACTTTTTGTGCTCTTCTTCCTTTTTTAAAAAAAAATTCGTTTGATTTTGTCTTAAATGATTAATTTATTATTTAAAAAGTAAATTTTATTATTAATATAAATATTTTATAAAATAAATTTAAGGGACACTCAATATAATTTCGCCTTAGACACCAGATATATTGAGCCGACCCTAATGCTATTGAGTGCAGCATGCACACAGAATTCTCAAGTAAAAGGCGAAAGATTATTTCTAATAATAAGTGGTCTGACGCCGTACAGACAGTAGCTCTTTTTCTATTGTTTATCCAACTATCTTTCCATAAGGTCTGCAGACGAAATGACATTTCAGATTCTCTGTGTCTGTGTAAGTCCCAACTCACTGGCGGCTAACGTAAGAAGCAATAAATTCCCTCTATTCCANATATATATATATATATATATATATATCTCCCTTCTCTTTGATTATCATATATAGTTTTGTGTAGCAGCAGCTAACTATGGTCTTCCAAATAATTACTACTACTTCTTTTCTGTTGCTTTTCTTGCTCAATTCCTCATTTTCTTTTGGACAAGAGGAATTTTCCATTGGAGATAGAATTGGCGCAAACAAATCCATTATTATGGGTGTTACTATTGTCTCGTCGAGTGAAAACTTTGAGCTGGGTTTCTTCACACCAGATAACGGCAGTTATTACATTGGCATATGGTACAAAAACATAAGCCCGCAAACAATCGTTTGGGTAGCAAATAGGGAAAAGAAACTTTCTTTTCCTGAAATGGCTAATGCAGAATTCACAGTTAGGAATGGAAACTTAGTTCTCTTGAATGGGTTCCGACAACCAATATGGAGAACAAATATCAAGTACTACACGAAGCCTGATTCCGTCATAGCTGTTCTTGGTAATGACGGAAATTTTGTATTGAGAGACGGGTCGAATTCAACATCTCCGCTACTCTGGCAAAGTTTCGACAACCCTAGCAATACTTATATGCCTGGTTCGAAGCTTAGTTATAACAAGCATACGAAAGCCATGCAATACATTACATCTTGGAGGAGTTTAGAAGATCCTAGTCCAGGTCCTTACACTGTTGAGATTAATCCAACAAATGGCCAGATTAGGGCAATGTGGAATAGAACTGAGGAATACTGGAACAGTGGTACTTGGGATGGAGATAGATTTAGTAATGTGCCATATAACATTCCCAACACAACAGTTAACTATACGTATATCAACAATGATAATGAGGTTTATTATGCGCATACTTTCTTTAGTCCTTTAGTCACATCAAGATTTGTTATTGATGTCACGGGGGTAATGAAGCAATTCACATGGTTGGATAGCTCTCATCAATGGAATGTAATTTTTCTTCAACCAACACAACCCTGTGATGTATATGCTTATTGTGGAGCATTTGGTACTTGTAATCCCATCTCAAGTTCGGTATGCAGTTGTTTCCCTGGTTTCGTTCCCAGATTAGACACGGATTGGCATTTGGATATTTTTTCTCAAGGTTGTGTTAGGGAAACAAATTTGAGCTGCGGTAATTCTAGTGCTCCCTTTAGGGATAGGTTTTGGATGATGTCCGATGTGACATTACCAAAACACTATCATACAGTTAAAGCTACAAGAGCAGAATGTGAATCTACTTGTTTCAAAAATTGTTCTTGTACTGCTTATGCTTATGACGGCGTTGAATGTTTAACTTGGACTAAAGAGCTCCTAAATCTGCAACAACTGTCTCAAGATGATCAAAGAGGAAGAAACCTGTTTATCAAACTTGCTGCTTCTGATTTTCCAAGTGACCAAGGTATGTAATCGACCCTCCCCGCAGTCCGCCCTTCCTTGAATTATTCGAACATGCAATATTTATTGATTACAAAGAACAAAAGGTATTTTGACTCTATCGTAGTTCTCAATCATTTTGTGGCACCGGCATGAACCATGTAGGATGGGAGCTAATGCACCGAAAAGAAGCTTAGATAAAAAAGAATATTAGTACTCATTTAATTGACCTCCTTTTCGAAGTCAATGAATTTTATTTTTTTTACTTTTATTTTGTTCAAGTTGCTTTAGTGAATGAAAATGCCCAATAAAGCGGGTAGGTTTTACTAGCCCTTATACTCGTTAAACTTATTTATTCCAAAAATTATACTATCTCAAATCGTCATGCACTCTATCGTTGGTGCAACCATTTTATATAGAGGTTCTTTTTCGGAGATAAATTAACCTTCAAAACCACATAACTAGATGGCACATTGTTGTAGTTACATTGAAATTTTCTATTATAGCAATTGATTTTTCATTTCTTAATTTTTCTAAGTACATCTACTTCATTTCGAATTAAGCAGCATTGAACCGTAAGCAATCAACGGCAAGGCTCAAAGTCACGATCATTCTTGCAACAGCATTTGTGACAATTCTATTAGCATGCTGCGCCTTTACCTACTTTTATTGTAGAAGAAGGATGGCAAATAGAAAAGGTAAAGTCGAATAAAACCAAACACAGCCAATGTTTTTTACGACTTTATTTAAATAGCATATTCTAACTCATTAAATTCTACCACCTTCTTTAGGCCAAAGGAATCTTTTGGATCATTTGAAGAGTAGAGTAAACCCTAACGATTTGACTAATGAAGATGATGACAATACATTGGATGTTCGATGTTTTAGTTTTGAAAGCATATTAGCTGCTACAGATCAATTCTCAGAGGCAAACATGCTGGGCCGAGGAGGGTTTGGTCCCGTTTATAAGGTCATTCAAATCTTTCTTTTCTCAAATATATATTCTCAGACTTGTGTGTATGATTGCATGTGTGTCAACAAGATTTTTCTAAACTATATATATATATTATTATTATTATTATTATTATTATTATTATTATTATTGAAGAAGGGGAGCCTCGGAACAACGGTAAAGTTGTCTTCTCATATGACCTATAAGTTACGGGTCGAGCCATGGAAGCAGCCACTAGTGCTTGCATTAGATTGGGCTATCTATATCACACCCCTTAGGGTGCGGTCATTCAGGGACCCTGCGTGAATGCGAGTTGCTTTGTGCACCGGGTTGTCCTTTACCTTTATATATTATTATTGAGTTCATTAAATATTGATATATAAATATTCATCAGGGTAAATTTCTAGGAGGAAGAGAGATTGCGGTTAAAAGATTATCAACTCAATCTCGACAAGGCATAGAAGAATTTACGAATGAAGTGTTATTGATCGCGAGAGTTCAACACAGGAATCTAGTTAGACTTTTGGGCTATTGTGTAAAGGGAAATGAAAAGATTGTACTTTACGAGTACATGTTAAATAAGAGTTTGGACACCTTCATATTTGGTTAGCTTCTCTCACTAGTTTTATTTATTTCTTCATAATTTACCTTGATTAATTGATACTAATTTTTTCCATAAAAGATCAACAAAATCGCACATTGCTGGACTGGAGAAAACGATTTGACATTATACTTGGAATTGCCCGTGGAATGTCTTATCTACACCATGATTCAAGGCTGACGATCATTCATAGAGATCTTAAAACTAGTAATATTTTGCTAGACGAAGAAATGGACCCTAAGATTTCGGACTTTGGCTTAGCAAGGATTGTTCAAGGAGATTTTACACAAGCAAATACGAAAAAAATTGTCGGAACCTAGTAAGTTTAAAACATTATTTTCAATGTTTTACGATATGATACAAACTTATTTACTTAGATTATGTGATATAATTCGTTCTCATTCAGTGGCTATATGTCTCCGGAATATGCGTTGAATGGATCGTTCTCAACCAAGTCAGACGTTTTTAGTTTTGGAGTAATTATACTTGAAATTCTAAGCGGCAGAAGAAACACCGGATTTTACCAATGCGACGAGGCAAGGAACCTCATCGAATATGTGAGTGAAAAATTTTAATTTCAAGATTTGGTGTTTATTTTTTCAACAAACAAATTTTTTATTAGTCCTCTATCTCAATTTATGTGATAAACTTTCCTTTTTAGCCAATACTAAAAAGAATGATATTTTTCTTTATTTTGAAATAATTGAATTTTAAACTTTTATTGTATCCTTAACGAGATGATTATAACCAACAAATAACTATGACTTATTTTACACTACACATTTTAAAAGTTAGTCTTTCTTTATTTATATTTCTTTCTTTCTTTCTTAAATTTCGTGATAAGTCAAAGTGCATCACATAACATGAAGCAAATGGAGCATATACAGTGGACCCATAGCTCTCTTAATTGGTAGGTTTACAATTAAATATTTATACATATATAATAGATTTTTTTTAATACAAATATAGAATTTGAGCAAAGTTACTGAATTTGTCCGGCACGTAGTTAATGCTCTCCCTCCGACCGTGAATATATATAATATTATTTTGGTAATTAATGATGCAATTGCAGGCTTGGGGACTGTGGAATGAAGAGAGGGCAATCAATTTGGTGGATGAATCGCTACTTGAAACATGTAACATAGATGAAGCAATAAAATGCATTAACATTGGTCTCTTATGCGTACAAGAAAACCCTTGTGGGCGTCCAAGTATGTCCAATGTCATAGTAATGCTTGGGGGTGAAAGCATGATTCTTCCAAGACCTAATCATCCAGCTTTTGTGGCAAGAACTACTATTTCTAGTGAATCTATAACTTCCTCTACCAAGAATGGGCTAACTATTACAATTGAACAAGGTCGATAATATGGGAGCTACGCATCAAGTTTTGATTCTCAAAGATATTCGCGGTCCTTTTACAACATAGAGAGAAATCAAACATTAACCACTATGGGTCGTGGTGAAATGAATAAGATCCATCTATCCTTAATCACATATCCCTGATTCGAACATTGTGTACGAGAAAAAATCTTGTTAAGGAGCGTTTACTCCTTAAATAGGCCTTACGTGATGTATGCAAGTACCGGATACCGGTGGGGTAAAGCCAACCAAAAAAAAGAAGAGAGAATCCAAACATTAATTGATTTTTAATTGATTGACATTTTTTCTCCTTTGGTGATTAGTTTTTATCAAGTTCTATCATTATTGTCAATCTTAGGTTTTCTTGTACATCTCTTTCAGTTACCAAAGGTGCATATATATAGGAATTCATAAAATTTATTGTCTTCAATATTGAAAAATTTCTGTTCCCTTATATTTGAAGTATTATGAAAGTTTTGGTTTGCATATTTCATGCGACTCTTTTTTAAACGGATTATTCTTGGTTGTGCCACATATAATTTCGAATCGCTACCAGTCCGGGAATTGAATGAGCGCCATTAGGCTTTAACTTGATGATCATAACTTTGTGAAATAAGTAAACAAATTATCAGCACCAAAACCACCTAGCATACAATTATAGCTGTATTGGTTGGCGATGGAAATTTTTGTTTTGAGAAGTAGTTCAAATTTAATATCTCCACCTTGACAAAGCTTTGAGAATTTTTTCTAAAATAATGCTTTTTATAAATCTCTTTTACACAAATAATGTGACGTTTCTTGGAAAATATCAAATTAGTATAAAGCCCAATGTCGGGCGATCTATGCATTTATTTTGTTACAAAAGTATAACAGTCAATGTGTTAATTTGGTTGACGAGGTTAAAGATGCCAAACTAATAAATTGTAAAAATTGCATGGGGCGCCTTATTTGGTCGCCCCCTTTTAACTTATACTCATTTTATTTTTTTATTTGCATCCGTACCCATTTTTGTTAAAAGCATTTTAAAAAGACAATTTTGTCCTTCTTTAATAAAAGACTATTGACAAACTGCAGGGCAAAAACTTAAGCATGTTTAGGCTAATGTTTTAAGAAATGAACTAAAAAACTTCAGCTTGTTTAGACTGAAGTTTCGGAAAAAACTCATGACAAAACTGTAGACTGCATTACAAAATTTTAGCATGTTTTGGTATGAAGTTTTAGCAAATGAACTAAATAACTTCAGCATGCATTAGCAAAAATTCTTTAGAAAATTACATACTGCAAGGCAAAAACTTAAGCATGTTTAGTGTGAGCACGTGATTTTTGCCCTATATATGAATAATTCCCAAAATCCCAAACAAAATAATTTTTCTTTTGTTTTTACAATTTTTGTGCGTTTTTGGTGTCATCTTCTGATAATTGTTGCATTTTATTTGTGCGTGTTAATTTTTATAAAATACAAAAATACGCATTTTTCTGCACTTAGGATTTAATTTTATACTTTAGTATTAATTAAGGATTAACCTGTTTTGGAATAGGATATGAAGAAAATGACAATAATAGTTCACTTTAACGTTTTTATTATTTTAATTGTGAGACAGTCGCAAATAGTTATCAAGTTAATTTTAGGCATTAATTGGTTGTAGCTTAATTGTTAGTTTAATTTCCCACCTTTGTAAAAAATCAGAAAAAATAAATACAAAAATACAAGATTGCAAAATGAAAAATGGAAAATTATTGTTTAAAAGAATATAGAGGGCTTGGTTTTAATGGCCAAATTTGGGCCACTTTCGTATTAATCCGTTGGCCCAAACGCCTCAGCTTTTTAAATTAAATCCAGCCCAAATTCCCCAACCCAGTCCGGTTCATAACAAGTCCAAACGACGTCGTTTCGGGGTCCTTGGATCAGGACCGTTGGATCTCATCAATCCAACGGTCCGGAACTAACGAGGTTTCCAGTATTTAAGTGTCCAAATAGCCCCCCCTACCCCCCATTTCCATCGTCTTCCTCACCCCACGCCTTCTCCCCAAACCCTAATCCGCGCCGCCCTAAAATCCCTTGCCGGTGGTGAACGCGGACTACGCCGTTCACCCTGAAATTAACACCACGGACTCCCCTCACCCTCCTCTTTCTATTGCACCCGTTGGTTTGCCTCGAATAAGGCAGGAACTCTTCGAATCCTGATTTGAAGTTTTCCGGCCAGGTGACAGTTTGTCCGAATCAGCCCAAAATCACACCCTACAACCCCCAGCCCTTCCTCAACACTAATCTATGGTTGTTTTCTTTCAAATCACCTTGAAACGACCCAAATCTTAGATCTAAGAATTGCTGGCCAAACCCTAAAACTAAATCCTTTTGATTTCAAACCGTAGTACCCTTAACCATGTGTTCTCGTGTAAGAACACATGGTTAGGGGTGTTATGCGTCAAAAATCTGAAAGGATTCAGATGTTTATGACCAGCCGGAATCCCTTATGCCTTTGTGAGTTTTTCTGTTTTTTTTACTGTTTCTTTTACTCGCATGATTAAAATATTATTTGAAGTCATTGTTTCATTGTTGTTCTGTTAATTTTAGGGTTTAATTGTGGTTATGTTAATTACTGTGTTGGTTGAATGATTATAAGTTCATGGTTCAATAATTAGTTTTAAGTTCATTTAATGGTAATCGTGGTAGCTTAAGCTCAGTTTAATTTCGTTTAGCTTGTTTGAGTTGGTTAATTGACCAGAATTGGTTCAGTCAGTCTGATTAGTTGGTTTCTGATTGCTAGCTGATTAATTTTATTTAGTTTCAGACCGGGCTAGGGTATTGGGTATAGTTGTTAAGGATAAGTGTAGGTTCAGTGATTCTGGAAGGCTTTCAAGGGTAATCTGGGTATGGAAAAGGGCAGTTCTGATAGGAATAGTAATATCAAGGTATATGGAAGGGTAATATAGGTATTGTATGGGTAGAGGAGTGCTTTAGGGCCTTCTAGAATGGGTTTCAAGTGTAAATTTGAATAAGTATACTGCAGTTACTTGTTTAGCAAGATAAAAATAGAGGGACCAAAGTGAAAATAAAGAGGGACTAATTAGAAAATCAGAACTTAGTTTATTCTCTTTGGGGTTGCCTATAAAAGGGCATAAGATGCCTTGGGAAAGGGGGTCGGCTCAGTCTTCTGCCTTGAGCCCTAAGTTTTTAATTTGAGTTTCATTCCTGTTTTTTTTTTAAATCCAGTTAACATTTCAATTCTGAGATTATTTAGAAAATGAAGACATCAAAATATGGAGATCTGAAACAGCTTCACAGTTTCATTACTAATTCTGGGTTTCAGCTGTGAGGGTCAGGGAAATGTTAGAAGTCTGTTAAGCTGATCTGTGGGAATTTGCTTATATTCCTGGTTTCAAAACAATCTGCCTGTGTTTCTGTGGTGTACATTGCTGGGTTTGTTGTTTGTTGCTGTTGAAAGTAGCTGATTCCTCTCCCTTTCTCTATTTTTATTACAATTCCCAGGTACATTTCTTTGACTCGCATATGTGTAAATCCAAGTTTGAAGTGGAGAAGAATGAGAATGTTACTTGAATTCTGTTGTCTTTGGAAACATTGTCTATTGACTATCTTTTCATAGTTTAATTTGTTTAAATTGTTTGACTGTTACTAATCTACTTAGTTGTTGTTGATTCGAGCCAATAACTGATTTGTATAATCGAGACTGATGAACTGTCCAGTATGAGTTTGGTTATTTTAATTAGTAAGTGGACATTTGGATATTTAGATTTATATGTATAACCCAGGGTGCAGGCTGTTTAAATGGATCATTTCATGTTTATACAATTGCCATTTTCAATTTGTTTAAAGTTCCACAGTATGCTGGAGTCAAGTCTGCAAAATCGTGATTGATTTAGAGTTCAACACACATGGTTTTTTTAGTTTTGGTCTAAGAGGAATTGGGCACAACTTCATACTGGGCCAATTTTGGGCCTGTCGAATTTGCAGTCGGCCCAGACTGTGGTTAGGCGAGAAATCGAAATGGGGCCTAGGTACATCAAGGTTCAAGAGTTTAATTAAATAGGAAGGAGCCTCGAGGGCTCGATCTTTGGGCTGTGCATTGGCCCATCCATAAGTAAAATTTGGCCTCCGTAAGGCCTGGTTCTTAGATCTCTAAGAACCCTCACCTGCAATATATGTAATGACAATGCTTTGGATTATATGGGCTCAAAGCCCATTTCCTCAGTACTTCTGCCTAGAAGCTCAAATTTTAGGTTTAACGGATGATTGGCCTTAACCAATTAGGATCCTCAAGTAATTGTTGACATAATTATCTCGCTGTTTAGATTTGGGAAGGTTGTTTAGCAAATTTCATGACCTTCCTCCAAAATAACACTACGTTAGCATCTTAGGCACGATTTAATTGAATAACATTCTTAAAATTAGAGTGCGCATTGATGTGGCTCAAATCCAAATCTCGACGAAGTCGAAATGTGTTGATAACTACGGGTGCATTGATTGCGACGTGGTTCGAAATGCGTTTTCATGACGTCGCAATTCTTTAAAAATAAATAACAATAAAAGCGGTTTACAAATAAAAAGCACATAAGTTAACATGTATTAAAATCAGATAAATTCAACTACAACAGTTAAGCGACCGTGCTAGAACCACGGAACTCGGGAATGCCTAACACCTTCTCCCGAGTTAACAGAATTCCTTACTCGGATTTCTGGTTCGCGGACTGTTAACAGAGTCATAAATTTCCTCGGTTC